AATATCTGTTTTTTTAGACAGCAAAAATGAGTATTATTTGTTGCAATTCACGAAGGCGATTGATTGATTTTTTTAAAGTTTTGACAGTCATTAGTGCATGACTATCGTTAGTGCATGTCCACACACAAGTAAAGGCACACCGGCAGACAGTGGTGACTGAGTTTGTTACGGCGCTTCTTCTCAGCACTTGCCAAATGTTTGTCTCGAAGCACTGGTAGGGCAAAAAAAAAATGAGACATGCATAGGCTCCTTAAGAGTATTTGACGATTATTAAGAAGTACCTACTTATTTAGTAAGTCTAATAAACAAATAAAGATAAATATGATTTGATTTGATTTAAAAAGCTCACTCACCTTCGTGAGTTGCAAGAACTATATTTTCTTATGTCTGTCCACTGTGGGTACACTCTTATAAAATCCTCAGTAGCTAGTTTTTCTGGGTTAGGTATTATCTGGCCCACCAAAAATCTGGTCCGCGGACCAGTTAATAACTTTTTAAAATACTAGTCTTCATCTCGTCCGAAGGTCCGGGCCAGATAATATCTGTAAAATCACTAGGGTATAACTCGCCCAATCTATAGTGAGATTTAACAATCTGTTCTTAGTTAAAGGATTCGTGATAAATGGTTAGTTAAATAGCCAAATTCAAATTTCAAGCCCTTAAAATTTTAAACTAGGTAATGACTTAGTGCATCTAAAAAGTGGAAAAAAAGGTATGTTCACGGTCTATTTTTTTATACCATTGAAAAATTTAAAACAAGCATCCTTTTTATGTTTCAAGTGTTTCATAAAGATTTCAATGAGAGTTTTTGATAGACTTTGATGTCAATTATTGCATATTCTTTTAACTGTGGAACGAATTTACTTTACTTTTATGCTTATAGGTCCTGTACATCGAAGATATTGCTAAATTAATTAATACACCCAGACACAGAAACCAAAAAACTGCAATTTTTAAAAGTAGGCCCTACTCGAACAAAAATTGGCACTTTAAACTTTAATAATTTGCAAACGGATCCCTAAAAGGAAAAATAGTCTTAGATACCCCTAAATCAAAAAGTTAGGAGCTACCCTAAAAACCCTTTTTTTTTCAAAATTTTATTTTATCTTTTTGTCGGCGTGATTAATATGCATACCTCCACAAAATAACAGCTCTCTATTCTCAATAGTTTCCAAGTAAAACCTCGGACAGACCGACAGACATATCGAAACTATGTATAAGGGTTCTTTGACAGGACTACGGAACCCTAAAAAAATGATGCTTGTTTTAAATTTTTCAATGGTATAAACAATAGACCGTGAACGTAACTTTTTTTTCCACTTTTTAGATGCACTAAATCATTACGTAGTTTAAAATTTTAAGGGCTTGAAATTTGAATTTGGCTATTTACCTAACAATTTATCACGAATCCTTTAACTAAGAACAGATTGTTAAATCTCACTATAGATTGGGCGAGTTATACCCTAGTGATTTTACAGATATTATCTGGCCCGGACCTTCGGACGAGATGAAGACTAGTATTTTAAAAAGTTATTAACTGGTCCGCGGACCAGATTTTCGGTGGGCCAGATAATACCTAACCCGTTTTTCTGTCCATACCACCTCATTAGTCTACAGAACACGTAGGTAGACATTTGCCGCTTGTCACGTCAATACCCTAGACTGAGAAAAACATAATATTCTTACATGACTTGAAAAAAGTTTTCACTCTATTAGCCTTTTTCCCTTTGCTTGACGGTTAAGACTAGGCGCAGAACATCGATTTTTAGTTGCCGATAGTTGTACCCGATTTTAAATTGTATGAAGAATCGGCCAAATTGAATCGGCGTAGAAGTAATGTGCGCACTTCTATGACATGCCCATTGCCCATACTGATCAACTGCCCGACTAAACTATTGCACAAACTATTCGATTGCACAAACCGGTTTTGCGGCCGTCGAGACACTCTTTAAGAATATTACACATTAACACAATATTACTTTATCATTACTACACACACACCTATACAAACAGTTTTATCTTTTTATTAGTATTCTTAATAAACGTAGTCTTATCATCCTTACCGATTTACCGCCTTTTGTATTTATCTGTGCACTAATATTACTATTTATGTATGTTTATCTAGACAATTTTATGCAGCTTAGTATTTTATTTATTTTTACCAATGGTCCGTGACCCTCACTCGGCATGGGGCACACTGAAAACCAGCGCCGTGGCCTTCGTCACCGTGGGCCACGGCATATGCTGAGTGGGGTCCCGTTGCAGTGGGCATCTTGTTGGTGGATGGGTGGCACTGCTCAGTTTACTCTTGTTTTTATTTTTTCTTCTTCCATTGTTATGTGCCACTGTCATGTCTATGTAATTGCCTGTATTTGTGTGATGTCCATTGTAATAAATGTGTCTTTCTTTCTTTCTTTCTTTCTAAACTATCGGCCGACGAAAAATCAATGGTCTGCGCATAGGCTAACTGGAAAATTGCCTCTTTCTTTCCTCCTCTCTTTTCTCTATCTATCTTTGTAATCTTCCGAAAGATTCTCTATTCCCAAGCTGAATCGGTTAGTAGTTTTTTTTTTTTTTAACTGGTATTTTGCTACCAGAATCATTTTTTTTTTTAATTGGATGTTGTTATTATTAGGTTACTTTTATTAAGTTTTGAGAGAGTAGGATAGTTTAGTAGTTTCGCACGATTTTCCTTCGCACGAATGTGCGAAACGTCCCCTTTCAATAATATTTTTTTTAGTAGGCGTTTCGCCCGGATGTATTAAAAGTATTAAAATCGCGTGCCAATCGACTCTTTTTTGAACTAGTAGTATGCGATTACTAGTTTTCAAAGGGGTCGATTCACACCCGTTTTTAATACTTTAGATAAATCCGGGCGAAACGCCTACTAAAAAAAATATTATTGAAAGGGGACGTTTTGCACATTCGTGCGAAGGAAAATCGTGCGAAACTACTACTAACCCAGCTGAATTTATGGAAGGTTAAAGATAATATTCTTACATGAATTGAAAAAAGATTTCACTCTATTAGCTTTCACTTTTTAAAAATAATATCGCCTCTCTTTTCACTTCTATATCGTATCTTTATCTATCTATCTTTGTAATGTTCCTAAAGATACCTACTCTATGCCCAAGCCTAATTTATGGAAGGTTAACGCAAAACAAACACCTTAAGTGTAAATACAATATTTTGATTGAAAACTTAACGCATGTTGTGATAAGTTAATTTGTAAGCTCATGCTATGTAATGGGGTAACGTCTTATAATAATTAGTGTAAAACAAATTAAGTACTATTAAATACCTGATTTGAATAATTTTGATTTATAAATGTTATTATTAGTGCTCCCAATAGAAACTGATAATTTAGTAAACAGAACAGAGTTTGAACTGTTTCACTATATTCCTAAATCTCTACCTAATAAATAATTATGCTGAAGAGTTAGTTTTTTTGTGTGACATTGTGATCTATCAACGCACAGCCCAAACCACTGGACGGATCAGGCTGAAATTTGGCATACAGGTAGATATTAATGACGTAGGCATCCTCAAAGAAAGTATTTAACGAAACTCCACCCCTAAGGGGGTAAAACGTGATCCACACGAACGAAGTTGCGGGCACAGTTATTCACTACATACATATACGTATAAAGATAGTAAATGTTACTTAGCTTTCTTTGTTAATTTCTACTGGCGCCGATTGTAGGTCAGTCTATTCAAATCATTGTGTATCTATCACCTTTATGCTAACAACAATAATAGTTAGGTTAATACCACCAATCAATTGACATACTTTTTATGAGCTGTCAAACGCTAAGCTCCCATAGATTGTTTCGGAAATACGTCACATATTTGACTGCTCAATTGACTAATTAAGCTTGTTAAAGATTTTGGCGAAATGGTAGCAACCAAAATCTAAAAAACTAACACTGAAAAATGTAAAGACAATCAATCAAAAAGTAATTGAGTTTTAGGATAAAATTTATTTTAGAAAAAAAAATGTTTTGTAATTAAATTCATAATGGTTTTAACCACACACAAGTTCCAATCAATTATTCTTTTTTTTTAAGTTTATTGTCGGCAAAATAAAAATAATGTTTTTTATGAATGAATATTTTCAGAAAATAATAAAAGCTCTGCTCATTATGCAAAAAAAGAGGAAAATAATAAAGATAAAAAGTATAACAACATTTTAATTACTTCGTTGGAAGACCTTTTCAAAAATTAAAGCCATGAGGAAGGTGGGTGAGGATGTTTATTAAGTCATGGGGGCTTATTTTTTTCAGTTATTAACCTTTTTGTTGGTTTCTTATAAGACTTAAAGACTTCTACTGAATATTAAAAAAAGGAAATAAAATTTTATGTAAAAAGAGCAAAAGGAAAAGGTTTTATTACAAATAGTGAAATGCCCTATGAACATTTGTTTAAATGTAAAATGTAATTTCAAACCAATGTTGAACGTGTGTTTAACTTTTTTAATAAGGCCCTGATATATATCTTTTCAGTCTTTTGTTTTTCCGCAGTAGGTAGGTAGGTAGGTATTTGTATTTCATTCAATTGCTGTAATTAAAATTGTTTTGTAGAGTCGCTTTAGCTTTGAAATATTGGGACGTATTTAATAATGGAACAACTCCACTATTCATTTAACAATATTAACGTTGTCATCTTCATTATTATCATCCTAAAAGCACTCGTTATCATTTTCAGTATTAACATCCAAATACCTACAGGATGATTAGAATCATTGTGAAAAATCTGCTGAAAATATTCTAATAAAGAGAACAAAGCTTAATTTCCCCTTTCCAAATAAATCTCTCCTTATTACGTGAAAACGAAAAACCATCCGCGAAAACAAAAGCAGTTAACCAGATCATAACAATTTAATATTCAAAAAACATGCACCATTTTGTTCTAAGCGCCCTTCTTATCACAGACTAAAAACAAAACCGTAATAAAAAGTAACATTAAGTCGTTATCATTAATTCAACGAAAACTCCATGAACCTTCAAAGCGCGAACCACAAAAAAATCCGGCACAAAAATGCTGGCAGCACAGAAAATTTCACAATAATCCTGGTTCTTAGACACGTCACTAAAAAAAAAACACTGAGGAAAACACGTGATGCGTTTTTTTTTTGTTTGTTTTTGCCGCGGTTGGGGGCAAAATGCCGCGAAAAATGGGCGAAGCGTCAAGCACTACCGTGCGCTCTTGCTTCCCGGCAGCGGACTGAGCGAGTGTAGACCTGGTTGCCCCGGCCGGGGTGGTGAGGCAAGCACTAAGTTGTTGCAGAGGGTACAATAGTTTGGTGCCTACTGAAGTGAGAAGTGAGAGTTTTTGGAAAATTTTCGTTGAGGATTTGTTATTTGATGATTTTTCTAATAATCGTAAACTCTTATCTTTTATGGTGGGTATAAAGTTGATTTTGTTTGCTAGATTTTATTTTAATTGTATCATGATACTTTTCTTTAATTTATAGGTATGCTTATATTAAGAATTTAAACCCTGTTTTTTTCAACTAAAGATAAAACACAATATTGCTCCACTAATGACTCTATATTTTTCTTGTTACACACTTTAAAAATAAATGCTATTAAATAATTCATTTTTTTTAGGTCCACCATTAATTAAAAAGAAGTTCACATTATCTTAGACTCTACTAATTTATCTACCTTCCTTATGTTTGGAGACTTTGATCCAACCAATTTTTCAAAACCACTTTTATGCTATGAAACATAATTACAATTACCGCGACATTTCCCAATATCATGCCTAAATATCCCTCTGAAATTTCCACGGCAATCGAATCTTTGCTCGACAACGACCTTAATCTGAAATCCCTTTTCAACTCCTCGTGCCTCTCATTATTGATCTCTTTCACTCCTCACTACCGGTGCAATAATAGCGCCGTCTCGCTCTACTGTTACGAAGTTCGCGTACACGCGTCCCTCTCTCTCACCACTGCAGAGACTCAAAAACGAGGTAGAAGCGGCGTTGTGTCAAAGTGTGCGTGAGGTATAAGAATTTTTTCGTTTACGTGCCCACAGACTAAGCAAGCTCCATAGTAAATTTTCGCGTCCTGTAGTTTTTCCGCGAGACGTCTTGCCTTTTTTTTTGTTAGGCAAAAAATGAAACTTTAGTGTGAACATAGGACAACTAAATAACTTAAAAAATTGAAAAAACTGAGAAATAAAACTTATTCTTCTCAGAATCCTGAACACAACTGAATAAAACATACAGCGTCTGGTTTCAGACAATATTTTCAATTTAAACCGGTTGTAGTTGCGTTTATATCGATACGGTCGGGGCGCAATTTAATTTGGACTCTGTGCCGATTGGGGTAGGTTTTTGTTTGTTTTGAAATGTATTTTTCGAATTGAACACTTTGTTTGTTTACTAGTTGTTGATTATGGCGGTGTGGGCGCGTGAACGGAATGCTTTTGCGGAAGATTCCGGCGACTGGGACCGCAATTAACTAGGACCGCGGTCCAAATCACCGGACCCGTAAAAAAAAAATTTTCTTCCGGCGACTGGGACCGCAGTTAACTAGGACCGCGGTCCTAATCTCCGGATAAATAAAAAAAAATCCGGCGACTGGGTCCCAGTAGCCGGAAACCTTCTTGCGAATAATGAAAGTTATTGTGTCATGCCCAATTTAAAGACTGCGGTATGCGTTCTTCGAATGTAGAGACGAGTCTTCCAGACTTGGCCCACTTTTAGCTTGGTCCACGGGTTTGAATTTTTAATTAATTTTTCTACTGACTGGGCCCACCTCTAACATTCTAGAGATTTTTGTTGATTTGGTGTTTACGAGTAATTTATTAATAAAATATTGAAGGTGGGTCCGGTCACTGGAAGAAAAACTATTTAAAAAGTCAAACCAGCGACTTGGCCCATGACCAAGCAAAAAGTGGGCCAAATCATTAGAAGAATTGAAGAGACAATGATTTCAGAGACGTGAGGTACGTGAGGTAGACAATTAGGCAGTGCCTACCTAGAAAAAAAAGTTCTATGAAAAGTGGATGGATTTTTTAAAATTATTAATCACCTGTATTGAAATAAAGGTACTAATAATGCCATTATTATTTTAGTTAATTTTCATAAAATAAAATGCAATAAAATGAATAATTCTTCTGAAAAAGAAAACATTTAGGTCGAATTTGTATCATTAAGTCAGATTTTTAGTCTATGATAGAGTCAAAACTAGAGAGCTTTTCATGCAGTTTTTCGTTTATGAATCAATTTTATGAAGCTATTTAAAAAAAAGTAAATTTAGTGCCTATCAGGTTTCCCAATATTTTCTTACAATACGATTAGCAGTAGACTTAGCATGTTTTTGTAGGATGTTTTATTGGAATACTGCCTCCAGCGCAGTTCCCGTGAATTGCTGTTCATCAAAGAAAGCTATTGCACAAAACCTGGGAATTCCCGGTTTATTTTCCCGTTTTAAAACCTTTGACGATACCTCCACAAAGGTTATAAATGAAAATATGTCACTTAATTTAACATGTTTTAGTTTGGACGCCTTGAATATGGATTGTGTTTATTATGAAAGTGAGTAAGTAACTAGATTCTGCCCGTGGCTTTGTTTGGTCATTCTACCCGACTGCGCCAGAAGATGAGTTAAATTATCTTTTTTACAGAAAAAAAGACTTATTTTTTCAAAAAAGCATTTGTTGATCTATTAATTTAAGCTGATGACTAATTAAGCTGAGTTGCAACCGGTTTTTTGTGGACTTTGACAGATTTTTGACGTTTGTTATATTAAAGATGAACCAACCTTGACATTGTCAGGAGGGCGCTACTATCAATACTGATTTATAATTTAACCACTTGACATTTCGAATTGTCGGACTATAAGCAAGATGTCAATAATATTAGTTAGGTACTCTGTCACAAGCTGTCAATCATAATTTCTATAAAAATGTACTGAAATGACTTTAATAGAGTAAACAAACATGCAAAAAAATCGTGTCTTTTTCCAATTAGCTTCATACAAAACCGTTAATTTTATTTGTAAATGTCATTCAACCAATCTCACGTTGTTTGAACCTGTTTAGAGCTTACAGACGGCACGTCAAGCTTTACACTGTGACACCTTACGTACTTGTAATACGGATGGTTTTGCTATAAAAATCCGTAGCTTGATATAATGTCGTCCGTCCATCTATGCTTTTACATGTCAATTGCTAACGTCGGAGCCACGATTGTCTTTTTCTTGCTAATTGTGAATGCAAACAATTGAAAGAGTTGAGAAATGGATAGAGTCGTGTAGCAAATGACAAGTAATTAAGTATACTGAACGGTACCCGTAGATCCCACAGTCGAATTAAATTATTATTTTGTTTGTAAAAAGGGTAAGCCTACATCTCCATACTGATTAACTATCGGCCAACTAAAAGTCGGTGGTCTGCACCTAGGACGGACGATTTAATGTGAAATGGACTGTATTAATGAGATTGAAATGACAAACCATCAGATCGACAAAATTAACTGTATTCCTAAAAGCAACAATTAAATAGGTCATAACATGTAATCTCATAAATACAGTTCATTAATTTCACATTTCGTAATTTACAGTAAGGTACCTACCAAAGTATTCCAAACTACATTTGCACACTAAAACTACACGTCTCAAAGGCCGAATTCCTGTTCATTAAATATTGTAGTAGTTCTCTAAGCTTTTTTTTCCTATTACGGATAGCTATCCATTCTTATTGAATAAGTATAGTGCAACTGCACTCAGGAGGATTTGATGAGTGCTACTGACAACGCCACTCTTGTGGCGGAGTTTTGGGCTGACACTGTGTAGGTTTGTTGTCGACACGAAAAGAAGAAGAAGTATAGGTAGTCAATAAGAAAGTAGAACTGTTTCACAATATTAACATTCTACATCAGTGTTTTAAACTACCACAAAGCTCCCTGGACAGACTGAAATAAAGCCCGCGAAGCTGTATTAAAAGTTAGTTAAATAAAAAACCATGCGACGTCCACCGTTTACTTTATAATTGACTGATCATTTTCAAATCATCTCACCGACCGCATCTTCTATCTCATATTATATCGCTGTCTCTTTCTACCGGCACGCTTATAGCCGTTGCATATCCCATTCATGTTTTGAAAACCTGATCCTCAGGTTAGTTAGGGTAGGACTACACAGTATATTTATTTTTTGTTATATTTTTATCTTTTGGAAAACAGTTTAAAACATAGCACAGTATGTTATGAGACTGTATAATCGGACATTCTCATTTATTTGATGAACCGTATAGAGCTCAGTTATACAAACATGATAGTAAAACTCCCGTTTGAAAATTCCAAGTAGTTTTCGCGGTATAAAAATTCAAAGTTACCTATTTTTTTACTTCAAAATTATGCAAAAATATTCTCACTCGTTAACTAATAACATTTAATTCAAAATTGTTATAATACTTCATAGAGCTCTTAAAACTACACGTAATAAGCGTATTTAAGTGCTTCGTAAACGCATTCAGTTAATTGGGAAAAATGATTTTAGTGATTTTAGTTTTTATTTTTTTTCTCAATTATACCTTAATATTATGCAAACATTTTTAATTGCAAGATATAGTCTGATATTTAATCTAATTGCATAAAAAAATCAGCTTTAAATTCCGTGATATATTTGAGGAAAATCAAATTGAAAATATGCGCCATATAGAATTGTACATTTCCCATCACTTTTTAATAGCAATATTTCTTTTGGATGTTTAAATATCATCAGCTCGATTGTACCAAATTATTGTATTGACATTCGATTTACATAGGTTTCAAATCGATGAGAAAATTATTAAAGGTAGGATAAATTCGACTTCCTAGATTTGTTTACATACTTTTTTAGTTAGTTACTTACATACAACTTAAGTTAATATAAGAGTGTTAAAAAAGAAAAAAAGACTCGACTTGAGAACCTCCTCCTTTTTTTGAAGTCGGTTAAAAACAATGTGAATGTGACTTTTTAGAACCTTCAACACTATGCACATAACAGGCGGGATTTGAAACTTTTTAGACATGAATTATTCCTTCCAAAATTGTCGACTCTAGACTCGTAAAAATTTTATTAAGACGTTTTATGTTTTTTCTCAAATATATCACGGAGTTTAAAGCTGATTTTATTAATACAATTAGATTAAATATCAGACTATATCTTGCAATTAAAAATGTTTGCATATATTAAGGTATAATTGAGAAAAAAATT